CTGCAATGTATAATAATAAATAAAGCGTATGCTTTGAATTTCAGTGTGTTCCAATGTGCCTGAACATCCATCTGCTTTCTCTGTGAAAATTCATATATTCTCTTAAAGTGCAAAGAAGGATTTCATTTTATTTTAAAAAATTCTGTTTTCCTTATTTAGTAGATTCTCCAGATTTCAGCAGGAGAGTCAGTTTGCAGAGTGACAAAGTGAGTTACCTCCTGACAAAGTTATTTTAAGTATAATTTTATGAAGTGTCTTTAAAAAAGAAAAAATATTATTTTGAAGCTCAAGGCAAAATAAATAAGTTGAACTTGCAAATGAGGAATAATTGAAATTTTCTTCCAAAGCTTAATAAGATTGGGGAAGAGTTTGTTTTCCCGGGCTTCAGCTCAGGGGCATTGCAGTGCTGTTGGACACTTGGCAAAACCTTTTTTTCCCCCCTCATGTGACATATAATTAACATATATTCCTATAATATATAGGATATTCCCTGACTCGTTGGGCTCTCACAGCTCTTGAATAACTTTACCTTACGATTTACCTGACTCACAGAATGTCAGTGTTTTAGTGGTGGCTGAGTCAAGCAATAATCACTATTTTTAGTCCAGCTTTTCCAAGCCAGCCTCTCCTTCTGGAGCACCTTCCTCGGGAGATCCGGCCCTCGCTGCGTGACTGAGGCTGGGAAGGGATTTGTGGGATCCTCGGAGCGGGATTTGTGGGATCCTCGGAGCGCTGGGGCAAACCCAGGGAGGTAGGAATGAAAACAAGGGCCCCTGTTTTCTGCTCCCTGCCTTCAACTCCCAGTCAAATTCCTGCAAAAGAAGCCCCCGAGGACAGCAGGAATTAGAGACTTCAGTTTTCTCCCCGCTCGCTGCTGCCTTTCAGGGCTCTGCAGCTCTGCCCGAGGCAGGGAATTGCATTTCCCAGCCCACACGCTTCAATTCCTCTTTGTCCAAGGCAGGTAGAAGCAGGACAGCTTTCGGGAGTCGCTGCAGAGGTGGGCACAGGGAAGAGGCCGTGCCTGGGAGCCGAGCAGGGAGCGTGTCCTGCGGCACGTCTGGCTTTGGGATGCGGCACAAACCATTTGGGGTCTCTGTGTGTCAGTTCTCAGCTGAGCCGGTGCAGGGAACAGTGATGTCCTGCCTCACACACCGAGGACACGGGGACAGGGGGAAGCTGGAGCACCTGGGAAACCTCCTGAGAAGTTCCCTCATCCAGGACATGGAGGGAGAGAATGCTGGGAGAGCAAGGGGGGTCAAGGGGGCTGTTTGTCTTGGGGGGTATCACCTTCGGTTCCTGTCTGACAAAGGCCCAGCGATGTTTGCCCAAAGGCTGGAGCTGTGGGGCAGGTCCTGCCCTGATCCCACGGGATGGGTCATCTGTCCTGCCCCAGGATGCTGCAGGACAGGCCCTGACAGCAGGATTCCTAGGGAGAGGGTGCAGATCTGGGAGGGAAGAGCCGAGGTTCCTGTTGCCCAGGGTGGGGGATATTTGGAGAGGATTTGGTGGAACAGAGGTGGGATATGTTTAGAGAGGATCTTGTGGAGCAGAGCCAGCTGTTCCTGGCAGGGTGGGCACAGCAGAGGTTGATATTTGGAATATTCCTTCCTTTTCTTTGGAGTTTGCTGTGGCCTCCAGTAAAGTTCCTGGCCAGCTCACGCTGGTGTTTCTGGGAATCAGGCACTCAGTATGAGGTCTGCTTGCTTGGCTCCATCACTGTGTGTCACTTGGGAACCCTCAGAATCCCTCTGGGATGGAGGTGGCCTGACCTCCCATCCCAGTTCCTCCTTCCATACCCATTCCTTACACAGGGATAAGAGTGTGTGATGTGTGCATTGGCTTCAGAGCAGGCAGAGCCCTGCTAGTGCCAGGGAGGAGAAATTTCCCCCTCAGTGGAAGACTGGGAAGGCATTTTTGGAGCATGAAAGCAGGTGGGAATCGCTGGACACAACGGATGTGCTCTGTGGTGCACACACAGACCACACTCCTCCCCTGGCTGGGGGTAGGCCCAGCCCAAAACGGGGCTTTATCCTTAATCTGAACAAGAGGTGAAGTTCTCATTTATCAAAAATTGGCCTCCTTTGAAGTGCCAGCAGATTTTACATGGGAATTCCAAAGAGCAAATAGAAAGAGTCTTACAGGGGGAGAAAAAAACAAGCCCTGATCAGATAAGAGTAACCTGTGCATGGTGTTAAAATAAGCCTCTGACATGTGCAGGATTAATGCTCTGCCCAGAGAACGTGGCAGCTCGGAGGTTGCTGTGAAACAATGCTCAAGCCTTTTCAGGAAAGCTCCTGGTATCTGAAAAGAAGATTAAAAAAAAGACTTGTGGTAACTTTCTACTCACTTCAATTAAAATAGCAGCAGAAGAGCCGAAGAACTTTGCTCTCGAGGTGGACAACAGTGGTGGGTCCCATCCTACACTGTGTGCTTGTGACAGCTCCAGCACACAACCAGTGTCTGCTCATGGAATTTTAAGGCTAGGTTTATATGGCTCCCTTGCCTGCAGGTCAGTTTAGGTCCAAAATTTGTCTTCTGTTCACATAAAATGAGCCTTGTCTCATCCAAAAAGCCTGTGTAGACGTGGCACTTGGGGATCCAGGTTAGTGGTGGACTTGGCAGTGCTTGAAATGCAAGTGGGGAGGAGTGCACAGGATTCCTAAGCCCTTTTCTGGGTTTCATCATGGCAGCAGATATCAGAGAAAAGGGACATTCAATGTCATTATGTTATTTTTACTCAAATACTCTAAAATATCAGCAAGAAAAGAAAATGCTTTTGCAGGATCAGACCTCACGTGTTTGAGTTACACAGCAAGACCAGGTGAGCTGTTGGCAAAGAATCTCCTCTTTCCTGCTGCCCAGCACAGCCTGGATGGCATCTTTTCAAACTGATGGAGATTATAAGGATTAATTATGATTACTGTGATTATTAATTGTTTCTCCTGTGGTCCTGCTTAGGAATCCCTCTTCCGAATCAGCACCTCCTCATTATCCTGTACAAATACAGGAGGAAAGAAAAGGTAATTCTTCCTCTGAAAATCCTTTCCAGCCTTAATCCTGCTAACCCTGGAGTTAAAGATCAGATTTCCACAAGGAAAGAGCGGTGATTTTAAAGGCAAAACTATGACCACTGCAAAAATCTTAACATACTGGAAGGAAGCTCCCAAATTCTGTGTGAGATCCCCCTCTCCCATTTAGCAGACGCAGCTGAAGGCTCAGTGGGATGGTGTATAACTGCATTATCCATAACTGAATGTATGTTCTCTTTAGAGGAGCCCCCAAACGTTAATGCTGCTTTACAAACCAGTCATTTCTGCCCCCGTTCCCTCTCTGTGTTTTCTTTGAACCCGATTCCTGGCAGCCAGAGGGGCGAAAGGCCAGACCTGAATGAACACAGAGCAATTTCGGGTGCCAGGGACAGCAGGGTTGAGGTGCTGGTGGGGACAGCTGCTGGGGGCTGGGACAGTGAAGGCTTGTTTCCCTGGCACTTTTGCAGCTGTTTGGAACACAGCAAAATAGGGTCGGGCGGGGAGGGGGGGACGCGGCGGCCGCCGGTTGTTGAATGAGGATGAGCATCAATGATGCCCCTGCCCGCCTGGCATTCATGAATCGCCCTCCCTTGGAGCCTCCGAGGCTCTGAAATATCTTCTTTGCCTTATTTGCTTGGGGGGGCCTTACACTGTTTTCTTTTTTTGGTGCCTCGCTTGGAAAAAGAGGGAAAGTGGCGCCCTGGAAATAAAAGTCAACGGTAAAGAGATAAGGGAGCAGAAAACCCCCCTTCAAAGGATGGTCCTCACAGAGCTGGGGCCCAGCAGGGATTTGGGACAGAGAGGTCATTTGATGTCCTAATCAACTGGTTTGGCACGTGTTTCCTTTCATAGCTTGAATCATCTTCCAGTAAAGCCAGGAAAGGCTTCCATTGCCTCTTCCGAGAACTGGATCAGTCCCTTTTAGGAACAACACATTTCTGCCGGTTTTAGGCTCAAAATTTGCAGCTCGTCTTGTTGGAAGGTGCCACTGGCACACGATGTCCCCCAGGTTTGGTGTTTGTTCCTGCCACCACCCCAAACCTGTGCGTCTGGTAGATCTCAGAGGGACCCTCAGCGATGAAAACCCACCCAGCTCAGTGTTCCCTTCCCAGCTCCCATTATTCCTTCTTCTTTTTTTCTGCTAAATCTTTAGCCTAAACCCTCCGCTCTTCCTCAGTGATTTCCTCAGTCATCCAGTTTGCTTTACAGACATTTCCATTTAACGTGGAATTTGCTGTAAAAGACCCCACAGAGCAAACCATTAGCTTACATCTATTTAAATTTCTCCTCTCCCAAGCCTCGTGGCTAATCCAACGGGAGAGCGAAACTGCAGTTTACCAGGGGCCTTTAACAAATAGCTGATTTTTCCTTCCCTATACAATGCACCATTATGTAGGGTTTTTTTTTTTCGTTTTTTTTTTTCCAAGGAGAACAATGCGAGCAGCAGTGATGGGAAACTGGAAAAACAAAAGGGGCATTTAGAAAACGACCATTTCAGAGGCTGAGAAGGGTTGAATAACGCCACACCTGATAGCAGATACTTTCTCAGCGGCCACCGAACGTGGGGTTATAGCACGGCGGTGTTTACATGCCTGTGCTCATCGGTCAACGATGAGGACACTTTATTACTGGTTTTGATTAAAAAAAAAATGCCATTTACGAACTCGGCGCAGCCAGGTGAAAATCACGGCAGCATCACAAGTAGCGAATTTAGATGACACATAAGGGAGAATCGCGTTTGGAAGGGACCTCTGGAGATCATCCAACCCCTGCCCACCAAGTGGGCAGGGGTTGGATGATCTCCAGAGGTCCCTTCCAAAGGGATCTCCAGTGGGGCTGGGACGTCTCCAGAGAGGGAGACTCCATAACCTCTCCCCCTCCTTTTTCCCGACGCTCCCGGTGCCCTCCCGGGCCCTCAGGGCGGCCCCTCCCTCCCTCCCTCCCTCCCGCACATGCTCGCTGTGTCCGACATGGCGGCGCCCGGCGCGGGGCCGCGGCGGAGGCGCCCGGGGGGCTCCGGGGACACCCTGGGGACATCCCTGGGGACACCCCCGGTGACACCTCCGGGGATACCTCCAGGGACACCCCCGCGCTCCTCCCCGAGCCCCCGGGCACCTTCTGGCTGACCCGCATCGTGCTGCTGCGCTGCATCGCCCTGCTGTACCGTGAGTGAAGTCCCGGGGACGTTCCGAGGGGATCGTCCCGTCCTCGATGGGAGCGGCTGAGCCGGAGCCCGACGGGGTTTCTACGCGCTGCGGGGGTCCGTGGGATGCTCGGTTGCCAGCGCGGACCCCCCCACCCTCTTTCCCCGAGATGAGACCCCGTCCCGCATCCGCCCCCCGCCCCGCCTGGCAGGGATGCAGCGATGGCAGCATCCCTGGAGCATCCCTACCCGCCTGGCAGGGATGCAGCGATGGCAGCATCCCTGGAGCATCCCTACCCGCCTGGCAGGGATGCAGCGATGGCAGCATCCCTGGAGCATCCCTACCCGCCTGGCACTCGTGGTTTGGGCTCTCGGGTGTACGCAAAGCTGCAGGGGACGGGTGGGATGTGACGCGGGGATGCAGCGATGGCAGCATCCCTGGAGCATCCCTACCCGCCTGGCACTCGTGGTTTGGGGTCTCGGGTGTGCGCAAAGCTGCAGGGGATGGGTGGGATGTGACGTGGGGATGCAGCGATGGCAGCATCCCTGGAGCATCCCTACCCGCCTGGCACTCGTGGTTTGGGCTCTCGGGTGTGCGCAAAGCTGCAGGGGATGGCTGGGATGTGACGTGGGGGAGAGAGCAAGGCTGACAGAGCTGGAGGAGGCTCAGGCTCTTGGGTGGCATTGTTGGGGTGTCCCGTGCAGGGCCAGGAGATGCACTCGATGATGCCATGGATTCTGTGGAGCTCTGGATTCTGGAAAGCACAATGTTATATATAGGTTGTGAAATAAATTGTGGGACTGGTTCTCCAGGAGTGAAACGACTTCAATGTATAAGTGGTCCAACCCCTCTGAGCCTGTCTGAGAGGCCACCAGTTATATCCTGCCTAAAATTCCATGTGGTGTTTCTGTCCGTCAGGTGCTCAGGGGTCACATCCACGCGGATATTCCAGTTCTATCCCAAGGCAAACGATCACACTACAGTCAGCATGGAGTGGATTGGGAGCTGTAGGAATTCTGGTGGTGGTTTGGTGGCCATCTGGCTCCAGCTGTCAGGATGTTGTTTGGACAATGCACTCAGGCACATGGTGGGACTCTTGGGGTGTCCTGTGCAGGGCCAGGATGGTCCTTGTGGGTCCTTTCCAGCTCAGGATATTCTGGGATTGCATGATCCTTGTGGATCCCTTCCAGGGATCCCTTCAGGATATTCCAAGATTTTCTTGTTTCCCACTCCCGCTTTACTGCTGGGACCCTGCTGCTGATGGCTGGATGGTGTTGGTGATGTTGGAGCTCCTGTGCTGCTGGAGCTGGAAGAAGGGTTTGCTCACACCACAAGGTTGGCACCTCTCAGCAGAGCTGGTAGGAGCTACTCATTCTTTTTCTTGTGAGCTCAGCTGTTCAAGGGAGGAACTCTTTGCCTTGTGCAGAAGCAGGATTGGAGGGAGAGTTGACATCCTTGTGTGCCAACACTGCCAGTCAGGACCTGGAGTCGACATGACCTTAAAATGTTTAACAGTAAAACCAGTTTTCAGCCTCCACTCGTCTGACTCTGGCACTGAGAACACAGAGAGCCCTCCTCAGAGCCCACTGGTGCTCCACTTAAAAAATATTTACAGTGAAACCCAAACTGACATGTAACACACTACGGTACAAATTCTAAACTTGCCCCAGATTTGTCCACAGAATCGTTAGAATTTGTAGCCTGCCAGCCTGCTTAGATTATTTTGCATCAAAACCATGCAGAAGCTGTAGTTTTGCATGGTTTTGACACGTGCTCTGTTTCTAGTTTGGTTTCAGCTCTCGGTGAAAGGCGAGGTTATGACTCTTTCAGTCAAAATGAAAGCGATTCCGATATTCCCCCGTGTGTAAATCCAGACTGCTGAGTTTCCCGTGGCTCAGTTTGCAGTTTCCTTATGAAAAACTGATTAGTGTTCTCTTTTTGGAGGGGAGCTGCTGCCCTCTGATCCTGGATTTGGGGTTATAAATGGGGCACATCAGGGACCAAATGCTGTCCCCAAGGAGGGTGGCATTTTCGGTGGGATGGGGCTGGAGGGGGCAGGGGGGAAGGGAGCAGGTGCTGGCTGGAGGGGTGGGAATTGGTAGAAGACAAATGTATGGGACCTTCTGGTGACTGGGAGACCCGACCTGGGACAAACAGGAGCAGTAACAGGTGAGATGAGTATCCAGTTAAGGGTGGGGTGAGTTACAGGTGGAAATGATTGAAAGTGATGGGCTGCAGGATAAAGGGAGGGTGGGAGGGAATGCTGGGAGCAGGGGAGGAGGTTGGGCTTGCAGAGTGGTGAGTAAAACTGTGTGTAGCATTTTTCCGAGGGGCGTGAGAACTCTTGGGAGCGGCTGAAGGAGGGATGAGACCCCCAAAATGATTTTGCAGTGCAGAGTGAGGAAACCTTTTGGAGAGAGGTACCTAAAAGGGTTTGGGTACTGGAGCTGCAAGGAGCAGGGCAGGGGGGTGGTTGTGCCCTTTCTGGTGGAAGAGATGCAGGAGAGGAAAAGTTTAACTGCTCATTGTGCAGCTTCTGCTTGGCTGCAGTCAGGCCACAGGGATTTCTGCTTTGGTTTTGGCTGGGGCACAGTCCAACAACCTGGGCCTGATCTGAGGCAGCTTGAATTCCTCCTTGGGCTGTTGCTGGCAGTGATGTTGGGGCTCCATCTCCAATCCCAGCATGGGGGGATGCCACACAGCCCTAGAGGGGTGGAAGCTGCTTGGTGTGTCTGAGAGGGAGAGGTTGTGAGCAGGCAGATTCCCCCATGACCTGGCTGTTGGACTGGGATGCTCCCGAGGGAAGGTGGGCTGCCTTTTGATCCCTTCTGAGAGCCTGAGTTTAGAAACAGCAGAAAACAATTTAGTGCCTCTGTGCCAAGCTGCTCTTCCAGGCTCTTTTCTGGAGATGGAACCATTTACTGTGACAGATGATTTCTGTTCCCAGATGTGGCGATTCTGAGGCTCAGACTCGCTGAGGAAACGGCTGATGCCGTTGTGACAGGTTGACATTCCTCGACATTCCTCAGTTGTGGGATGTATTTCACCCTTTTACTCCTAACCCTTTCATTCCTGCCGGGTTAAGCAACAAATCCTTTGGTGGGGACCTTGTCCTGAGGTGTCGGGAAGTGGCCACTCCCTGTTTGTGACTCCTGCCTCAGCTCAGCTGTGTGAGCTGAGAGCTTGTTCCTCTCCTGGGTGGGAAGGGAGGGATGGGAGAGTGAAGGATCCTGTGGATGGGCTGGAGAGGAACACGATTTGGGGCGTGCAGTGATGCTGAGGTGAGGGTGGTGCCTGGTGCAAGCAAGGGAGATGCTTTCCCTGGGGATCTCCCCCTGTGGAAGGAGGACAGGCAGAGCAAGGCAGGTGGGAAGTGTCCTTCTGTGTGGCCTCCCTTCTCCCCCACACCCTTTGCTTATAACAACTCTCCTCTCCTTCTTTTTGAAGGGGTTTTCCAGCAGCTTCCAGAGCCTGGGAAGTCCCTGGCAAAGCAGCTGCTGTCTGAGAGGCAGGTTGGAGGTGGGAAGGGATCTGATGATCTGGGGAGGTCAATGACCAAACCCACCTGCTGCTTGCAGGAGTGGGAAGGAAGGGAAGTGGATCCAGCTGAAAGTGCTCCACGAGGTTTCTCTGTGCAGCAGGGCTGTGCTGGGGGCACCTCAGCAGAGCAGGAAGGTAAATGAAACACCTGTCTGTGCAATTCCCTGTTTAGGAGGAGCTGGTACTGTGTGCTGGTAAATTCAGTGACATCTGAGTTCTTACCATTAACAGCCCTCAGAGGTGTTTTCACATCTGGGACCTCTTTGACTTCACAGGTGTGGGCAGACCAAGAGGTAACACCCTTCTGGAGGAGGAGGGTGTGGAGTAACTCAGAGAATCCTGGGCTGGTTTGGGTTGGAAGGGACCTTAAAGCTCATCCAATTCCACCACCTGCCATGGGCAGGGACATCTTCCACCAGCCCAGGTTTCTCCAACCTGGCCTTGGACATTTCCAGGGCTGGAGCAGCCAAAGCTTCTCTGGGCAACCTGTGCCAGGGCCTCCCCACCCTCCCAAGGGGGCAATTTTTTCCTAATATCTAAAACCACTCTTAAAAAGTTTGGAGCCCTTCCCACTTGTCCTGTCACTCCAGGCTCTTGTAAATAGTTTCTCCATCTTTCCTTTAGTTCCCTCCAGGTACTGGAAGGGGCAACCAGGTCACCCCAGAGTTCTCCTGTTCTCCAGGCTGAACAGTCCCAGTTCTCCAGCCTTTCCTCCCAGCAGAGCTGCTCCAGCCCTCTGATCCTCTCGGTTCTCCTCTGGACTCGCTCCATCAGCTCCGTGTCCTTCCAGTGCTGGGGACCCCAGAGCAGGAGGCAGCTCTGCTGGGGGGGGGCTCTCACTGAGCTGGGCAGAGGTTTGAAGCAGTGCCCTTTTGAGATCTGAAGGTTTTCCATCCTGGTCTCGCACTGTGTGTTGGTTCTTTGTGGCAGGGATTGATGTTTTGGCAATACAGAAACTCTTTGAGGTCTTGTTGGAAGTGCTGTTACAGGTAAAGAGCCGGTCCCAAAGCTCTTGACAACAAATGTGCATTATTTGCTCCCTTCACCCTCCTTCTAAATCATTGTTAGGTACCCTTTTTGGATGGCTAGTGATCATCAGATTCCAGATGTAGAAGTTTAAGTAATTAGACACCACCCTCCCCAATCTCAGCCAGGCTCTGTGGAGTGCTTTGAAATAAAAGCTATTATTTAAATCCGCTTTATATTCCTGCTCCTTATGTATTGTTTAATGGTATTTTCTTTCCCCAGAGCTGGAGCTACGGGAGGCTCGTGCTCCTTCTTCCTAATTCTGAAATCTAAAGCCTTCTCAGGGGGGTTTGGCTTCCTGTGGGTTCCTGGCTCTCCCCGGTGTCCTTCCTCCTCTCTTTCTCTGCCATCTCCCCTGCTTTCCCTTCCCTCAGTTATATTAAAAGGCTCCCAGCTTGCCTGGTTGGGATTAGGGAGCATCTTCTGGTGCTTTTTCCCCCTGGAAGGTTTTATTTCAGCTCAGAGCTCGTTAGCGAGCCTGTCCAACAACAGCAGCGTGTCAGCACTGGGTGCTCTGAGCAGCTGGTCCCCCTGAAATGGGAAAATGAGAACAAGAATGGAGAATAGAATTTATCTCCCCGTTTGCTCCTTGCCCAGAGCTGTTCTGGAGCAGAGGGACATCCTCCAGCTGCAGACTGGGCTGCACTGGTGTGGCTGGAACAGCCCGAGTCCCCCAGGGAAGCTTTTGAGTGGTGTCAACAGCCCAGCCTGCCCTATTTGCTTCCAGATGCTTTCAAACAGGGAGGCAATGGGAGATAAGCACTTAAAAACCCCCAAAGTCTTCAGCTTTGCTGTGAATGGCAGGAAAACAAAAAGGTGTGAAGAGCAGAGGGCTTTGTTGTGTGTTTCTTTGTGGCTATGGGGTAGCAACCATGGGAAGGGGGTGCTGTGGTGGTGCTACCTCTGTGTTGCAAAACTTTGCAGGGGAATTTATCCATGGAGAGCTTGTTTGATTTAATTTCTCTGATAATAAAGCCAGGAATATTCTCCTCTTTCTTCTTTTCATCAGTACAACCTCAGCTTTGCAGCATCCAGCACAGGGCCTGTTTGATGCCTCGTTGGGTCAAAGGAGCACTTGTCCTGTGGCTCCAGGCAGGCTTTTTGGGTGTACACAAAGTGTAGCTTGGTTTTCATGCAAAGTTCTGTGCTCTTGCTTCGTTTCTTCTCGTGGTTTGGGCATTAAGTAAAAGTTAAGACTTCTTCTAATAGACGGGGGTGGGGGGAAGAGAACTTTCCAACCGGAACGTTTTGGATTTCACATCTTTAAATCTTTACCGAACATGAAGAATGGGATTCTCTCCTTCTCCTGCCATGACAGGCTGAGCCTGGGCTGGGGGAAAGGAGCTGAGGTGACAGGGAAATATGGGTAGATTGAATCCTTTTGGGTGGGGGACTCTTTGCTGCACGGTTGAGTGGTGTTTTTTGGGAGAATGTGGGTTTGGGGGCAAAGAGGAGCCTGGAAGGAGAAGGTGGAAGGGGGGAGTTAATGGAAAAGTACAGTTAAAGCAGCTTCTGAGGTGAGAGTAAGTAGTGAGGGTCTATTAGCAGTGCTGCCAATTTACATGGATTACTTATGTAAAGCTCAGCTCCAGCAGGGAGAGGAACGTTCCCATGTGAGCTGTCAAAGGCTCCGGCTGCCTCGAGTGGGAGGGAGCTCAAGAGCCTTCAATCTGCAAAGGATGGATAGTCTGGAGAATGACAGTGCTCCAGGTGGGACACGGGAGATGGGACGGGTGAAAACACCCAGATCTGGGAAGTGTCAGGGAAAAAGTCCTGTCAGTGAGCAGCTGCAGGGAGGATGGGAAATGGGATGGGGTTTGTGCTGGGGCTGGAGAGTTAAAGGGGTGCAGACTCCCAGGAAGAAGCTGCAGGACAAAGACAAAGGAGAAGTGGTTGAACATCCCCCAAGCCCCGGTGGGTGTGGCAGGCGGGGCCCAAGGTGGGAGCAAACTCGTTTGACCTGGAGGGAGTGGGAAGATGGGGAGTGGAAAATCCCCAAACACAAGACCATGGGGAGGGAGGTTCCAGAACAGGGGCTGGGGAAGAGGAAGAAGCACAGGCTTTGAGGAGGAAAAGGGACTTTTTTTACCCCCCTGACTGAGCCAAGGTCAAAGGGAGGGTTCCTGGAGAAGGGAGTGAGGTTTAAGGATATGGTTTCTCCAGAGGTTCAGGGAGAGGAAGCAATGACAAGGTAATAAATAACTTCCCTTTTTTTCCCCCACTGGATCTGTGCATTTCCTGTGTTGCTGAAATCCTTTGAAGAACCAGTCTTTAGTTTGAGCTGTTCCCTGTGTCCAGTAGCACGGGAACTGCTGCCAAAGCCTCTTGGAGACAGAGCTGGTACCTTGGGAAGAGCAGGGGGGAGAGGATGGAGTGGAAGTGGGAGCTTCCTAAGGGATGTGCTCCAAAAGATGCTGGAGATGAGGGGGGAGGGAGCACAGAGTCATCGAGACGGCTCAGCCTGGGGAGTGTCCAGGAGAGGGAGCTGGATCCGGGATGGAGCAGCAGGTCTGGGAACGCTGCACGTGTGAGCAACGCGTGGGCCGATGGCCTGGGAGGTGATGGGTCCAAACACACGTGGAATGGTCAGGATTTGGTTTGGGGGAGGTGAGTTCTTCCTAAATTAGTGCTCTTGCTGGTGGCATTTCGTTGGGAACGTTGACATGCGAAATACCAGTGAAAAATCTGTGTTCTGGGAGAGCAAAAACCACTTTGGAGCCCAGACTGGGCAATCCTAAAATGTGCATTTCGTGTCAGCTCTAACTCGGTCTCTGCTGCTTTCAGACTCAGAAAGGCTGTGCAGGACTGTCCATGCAATGTGTACTTTTCTGCAATTGCTATAGTTTGTTTTTCCTAATTTACCCTTTCCTTCTTTGTCTTGCATACGGTGCAGGGGTCTAATTTAGACTTTTTTAGACAAAAATGTGCTTGGCAGTTATGGGTTGGGGCAGCAATTCTGGAGCATTTCGAGGTGAATTTGATTAGCACTTATGGAAAACTGTGCAGCAAATTGCAGGGCTAATCACGGGAAATCAAGCCATGGAGTTTTAAGGCAGAGCTGGTCTTTAGCTATTTTTTTTTTTAAGCAAAAAATGAAGATATTAAGCTGTCTGAAGCTCAAAAGCATGATATTTCTACTGGCTTCACTTATCAGGGTTTCTGATTCTGCAGTTGTGCTGGGAGAAAAATATGAATAATATGAATATTTGCAGTCAAGAACTGATCCTGTAGGGTTGTGATCAGTTTTTTCTCTTGCTGAGTAAAATATTCAATGTGTGTTTTATAAGTTGGTAAAATCCTTCACTGTGTATAAAAGATGGATGGGAAGAGATGCAACCAATTAACTCCCAACTCTGTTGTGTGATGGCTCTGACTCAGAATCTGCTGGAATCAAAGGGAACCCCCTCCCAGTGACCTCTGCTGTGGATTGCGACTTGCAGTGGTTTTCCAGATGAGAACAAAATACGTGGTGTGTGCAGAGAGCTGGGGAAAGTGTTAAGTGGATTAAGTGAGCCCCACTGGGGAGCTCTGTGTGTGTCTGGGGAATGGGACAGGGTTTGATTCCCTGGGGCTGCAGACTTTTGGTTGCTGCTCAGACTTCAAAGACACCCAGGCCTGAACTGGGGCTTTAATTCAGTGTTCCAGGGCAGGGACAGCGAGCAGAGGAACACCAGGATTCCTGTCTGCAGAGTGACCCTGTTCAGATAAGGAAGGCAGCAGATTTGATCATTAACCAGGGAGCTTTGGGGGGAAACAAACTGGCCTTTGGCAAGACCTTTGGTGTTGCTGTGCGTGACATGGCTGGGGGTTGATAATGTTTGAAAGATGGGTAAGTTAGTGGATGGAGCCTAATCAGGGAATGTTGGCTTCCATTGTGTTGTTTTTTTGGGTTTTTTTTCCCCCCTGAGAAATGGAGATTACTGCAGTTACAAACTGCAAATTGGTAACTGGAGGAGATTCTTAAAATATGAGCTAATCCCTCCAAACTGACCAACTTTCTCTGTAGAACATCAAATTCTAGGTCTATAATCTGTAATTAAATTGCTTCTGTGCTGTTAAAAAAAGCAGCTGGTTGTTCTAAGATTGTCCAGTGCAAGAGCACAGACACTATAAATGGGAGAGCTGCAGGGACGTGGAAAAAGCAGCAATTTAGAGGACGGGAAAATATTAAGACTTTGTATTTCCAGGATGTGAGAGGATCCAGAAAGTCAACCCATAGCAGGGCTACTGTCCTGGGCAATTGGGATGGAGAACTATTAACCATTGCACTGCCAGAAGGATTGAGGTGGGGTTTGAACAAGGATATGGAGCTGCCATGGGCAGGGAACCTTGTGCTGTTGGGTTTTAACAGAGGTGAAGACTTGAATTAATTCCTTCTGAGACATTAATCTACTTCTGTAACACAGGACTCAAAATCCCTCAGCCTGGGTGATTTCTAACAGTTTTTTTCCCCCCTCCTTGTTTTCCTAGTTGTGGCCTTCCTGGTGGCATATCATCAGAACAAGCAGCTGATAGGAGAGAAGGGGCTGCTGCCCTGCAAACTGTACCTGCAGAGCATCAAGAAGTATTTCAAGGGGAAGATCAACCTGGATGCCTTGAGCTATGCCCCAACAATCATCTGGTTTCTGGATTGGTCTGACATGGACAGCACCTTGGACCGCCTTGCCCTGCTTGGCCTGGCAATATCAGCCTTTGTGTCGGTGACTGGATGTGCAAACATGGTCCTCATGTCCCTCCTGTGGCTTCTCTACCTCTCCTTGGTCAACGTTGGACAGATCTGGTGGGTTCTCAGTCTCTCTGCTTTGTTTTTTCTCTGGTACCTGGGGCTGTTTGCCAAGGCAATGCCCTGCCCAGCAGGAATTCACACAGAGCCTGGAGTTTGCCTTTTGTGGGTGCTGTGGTTGAAAGGAATTGGCTCTTGATATTTGAGATGAAGCTGTATTTTTTTTTTTTTTACTCCTTTGACTCTTCAGATTTGGGGTTTACCATTTAGTCTGGCATGGGCAGGTGCTCCTGGTGTGCAGCAAAAACACACCAAGGGGTTGGGTTGGGTTCTTCTGGGAAAGGGGTAGGAGAGAAGGGGGGTTAGATGATGTTGCCTCAACTTCTTCTCCTCTTAATATTGTATATTAAACAGGAAATGAGGTGGTTCTTGTGAAGGAGTGGGGGAAAGGAATCAAAGCAGCCCAGCAGCACAGTTCATTCAGCTGTGGTTACATTTTTCATTTAGATCCTCTGCAATGGGTCACTGGGTGGTCAAAGCCACATTATTATTGTGCACACAGTGTGACCTGGAATTCCCTGGAGAAGAGGGATGCTGGGTGCTCACAGTGCAAGTAAACACAGGGAGAGAGCAAAGCAGGGATTAGCTGAGTTCTCCCAGGCAGTTGTGGTGGCAGGAGGGGTGAGCTCAGGCTACCCAAAATCTGATCTGGTGGGTAGGTGGGTGGGCAGTAGCACTGACCTTAAACTAAGGCTGGCTTTAAATCTCCCTTCTCACACTGGTGTGTCCACGGGTTTAGATGGTGTTTTAATTGTCTTACTGTCAATTTGGGGCAGATTGGGAGGTTTGGGTGAGTTCTCCCCAGAGCAGAAGACCGCAGATATTAGCACGGGGGGGAAGGGCAGCGCTGTCAGGCAATTATGAGACAGCTCAGCAAGGAGGCAGCTGAAATGAGGAAGGAATTCCTCCTGTGGCCACGTTGTTTTGGGTTGTTGTGCAGTCCTGAAGGTCCTGTTGCTCTGGCCAGGCTGGGCTCCTGCCACCCAGCAAAATCCTCTGCTGTAGGTGCCTGGGAAGCCAGTTCCAGGAAGATATGGAATGATAAGGAGGGGGATAGAGCTCTCTTCTTTAGGCCAGTGAGGAACAATTTATTCCTTTTATCGCCTCTGCTCTCATTTTTTTTTTTTGTTTCTATTTTAATTTTAAATGTTCCTATTTGTTTTGGGCTGCAGTCTCCAGATAGCGGGTGCTGCTGGAGGAGAGACTCTTTCAACTGCTGTCCAGCTGGCTTGGGCTCAGTCAGGGGAAGCTTTAGAAGAGCAAACTGTGTCTCCTTTGAAGGGCAGGACACGCTCCCTGTCTGTCCTGGGACCACCTGGGAGCTGGGGAATACTCTGGGAGCCAGGGGACAGCTGATGCTGCTGGGACAGCACAGCTGAAGGGCTTGGAGGGTCTCACAACCCTCAGGAAAGCTGCTCCTGGGAGCTGTCTGTGATGGGGTTTGCAGGGTAAGGATTGCTTTGGCGACCTAAAATCCTGAGAACTGGGGCTGGGATGTTGCCCTGGCTCTGAATTCTTGATTTGCCAGTTTGTTGTTGGTTCTGAACTGTCTTGAGAAAAAAGATGCACTTTGGTGGTTCTCAAAACCAGCTGAGCTTTCAGAGAGCAGGGTGTTAGTTCTGGTACCTGTGGAATGTGGGGCCAGGATTGCCAGGTTGGAAGGTGGAAAGCACTGGGAAGTTTTTGTAATTCTGGGCACAGTGTTCCCAGAACAGCTGTGGGTGTGCTCAGCCTAAACCTGGACGTGTTCTCTGGGTCAGGAGCCACACCTTGTTGCAGGTGAGCCCGTGGAACCTCTATTTGTGGGTTTATTCCCTGTGGTTCCTGCTGGGACATTGGCCATGAGGGTCCTGTGGCAGCACAAGCTCTTTGGGAGAGTTCTGCCTTCCAGCAGAACTTAAATCACTTTTTGTACCAGAGTAACTAATGCACTTCCAAAGTGAGTTGGTAACTCTGGAATAAATTCACTTTTATCCCACAGTAAGGTGTCTCCAGAGAGCTATTACATTTTTCTTACATAAACAAACTTTTCAGCTACTCTGCCACTGATCTCCTGTTTCTTCTCCTGTTGTTTCCTCCCCCACCCAGCACTTCCAAATGACATCTGAAAACCCTTTCTTTCCCTTGGTTATTGGGTAATTTCATTTTACAGAGCTCCTTGCCCACTCTTGGGAGGCACAGTTTGTAAGACACTTGATACAGAAGCTGGAACTGTGGGGTTTTAAATCCTATTGCCTTTTTTTTTTTTTTTTTTCATGACTAAGATTCTGGTTGAGTTACAAGAGCTCAAGGGAATGGGTTGAACAAGCCAATAAATAAAATGTTAGAGCACAAGGTGGCTACAACTTTCTTTTCAGTGTGTTCTTCCCTTGTGGGAAAACAGTGGTGGGGCTGCTGCTAACAGGTATTTAGGGTGAAATAAGACCAAGCAGCACCTTTTTTTCCTGCAGGGAATATAAAATAGAGCTGTGCTCATCTGCCCTTCAAAAAGCCCCTGTGCACAGCTGGCTCCCAAAAAGTTGCTGGTGCTGCAAGACTTTTGTAGAACACAGAGGGGAGTTGATGCCTCTCTCTGTCTGCCCCCAAATACCTGGTTTTTTTAATATTTAGCTGTTGAATAATAGCTTGAAACTGTGATATTAAAGGACTTACTGGAGGGACAAGTACGCTGCAGGGCGTGGAAGCTTGTCTGTGAGGCTTGTAATTTAATTTCAATTAAATTACCGTCCTCAGAAGTTCATTTGCAGCAGAGAAAGAAGAAAGGCTGGTGTGTGGTGGAGGGTTTGTGGTTTATGTCTCCTTAGAAAGCACTTGACCTGTGCTGGACTTTAATCTGTGTGTGCTGGTGGCTGGGTCAGGCTGAGCTCCACTCAGTGCTGGGGGGCTCAGGGGGTGCTCAGGGCTGTGTTTTCCCTCTCCAGGAGTGCATTGGTAGCCATTAAATGAACCTTTTCCCTGTTTCCCTTCCTCTCGTGCTCTACAGCTTTGGATTTTGGGATTAAAGCACTTGGGGCTTTGTCTGGAGTGATCCAAGTGAAGGTTAGAGCCAGATCCATTCTGAGTTTGTTACTCCAGGTTGTAACGCAGCCAGGGTGGGAATTGGGGGCTGCTCCAGCCCTCTGCTCATCTTGGATTAGAGTAGTCCTGTTCTGACACACAAAACAGAGCTGGAAGAATCCCCCTTGGAGCTTCCAGCAGCCCAGATCCAGATGAGGGTGGATGGTGGATCCACAGGGGGCCACTTGAGCTGGGGCAGGTTTTGTTGAGCAGTTTGGGTAATTCAGTAAGACTCTTTTGCCTGGCCCTGAGCAAGGAAACACTGAAAGACCAGGAGCTGTGCAAGCAGGGAATGGGAACCTGGGTGTCCTGGGTTTTATCAGTACACCTGGTTCACCTGGGAGGTTCTCTGGGCAGGCAGGAACGGATGTGTCAGCTGTGACCTCGGTGTGGTCTTTCCATCAGTCTCTATCCTGCTTTACAGGCCTGTCTGGAAGTAATACAGGCTTGTACTGAGGGACTGCAAGGCTTAACTGAGACCAGCTTTGCAGATATTAAAGTCTGAAGCGGAAGGAAGAGTTAATACTGTGCCTGAATCCAGCATACAGTTTTGTGTATTGAAAAAAAGGTATCCAAGGTTTTCAGATAAATCACATGAACAAATCTCACCTTGATGCATGTGCTGAACTGGAGTAATCTGGAGTATTTTTTTTAAGGCCTTACAAATAACCCTTTTTGCAACCTGGCTGTGTTTTTCCAGCTCTCCAAAATATCCCAACAACAAGAAAACTTGGAATATCTTATTCCTCTATCTGGCCTTGGCAATAAACCTCAGGAATTGCTTTGTTATCGCAGCCTCGCATCCCTTGTGCTCCGAGCTGCCCTCCCTCTCTGCCCAGAGAGAAAAGATTATCTCCAGAAACGTAAACCAAGAGTTGCAGCATCTCAGGGGGTCATCCTTCCTGTCCAGGAAGCTGCTTTTTGGCACTTCCTACCCCGCACAGGAGAGAGGGAGGGATCGGTTTCAAAGGATGCTGAGAGCAGCCCTGAGCCCCTGATATGACACGTTAATGAAAACAGAGATTAATGCCATGTGACACCCCTGCCTTGCAGTACAACTGGGAACTAATGAGCCTAATGAGAACCACATTTTGGGTTGAGAGATTAAAATTTAATCAGGGCTGATGTCAGAAATGAATCATTTAGTGTTTTTTCTCCCCTGCACCCCCAGCATGTGGAAGGTTTTCCCTCCCTGCCCCAGGCTGGGTGCTGGTTTAGCTGCAGTCCCTGTCCATCTGCTCACCTGGAACTGAGTGTGGCTGGGCAGCAGGAGGGTGATGCTGTGCCTGGATTAATCCTCAAGACCTGAAAACGTGTGAGGTTTCTCCTCTTGGTTGATGCAGTTGAGTTCAGTGCAGGTGACAGTGGGGTTTGTGCCTTTGATTTAGGGCTCTTCAGAGGTGCAAGTGGAATCTCGTGGAGTTATTTAGGCTGGAAAGGACCTCTAAGATCATGGAGTCCACCACTAAACCACGTTCCCAAGCAGGAGCAAAGATATGCCATGAGATCTGAGATCCATTTTTATTTAATTATAAAATTTAAATAAGAGCAAAGAAAGGATGAGATGATGATGATGATGTGGTTAGTGTGTGGCTTTGCAGTGGCTGATGTGCACTGGGCTTTGCCAGAGACCCAGACAAATATCTTTTAATTGCTTATTTTCTGGCACACCCAATTGCCAGCTGCATCCACTGCTTGGGGCTCCATCCCACAGCTGAAAAACTTAGAAAAAGAAGGAATAATGGTTTTTTCATGATTTTTTTTTTTTTTTAAACAATAACTTGCCAAACAGCTTCATGCTCCCAGTTTGGTCCAGCTCATGTTTATGTTGTTTAACCCAGGGAACTCCTCAAGCAGCTGTGGTTGGGAAGGATGTGAATACAGGGATTGGTGCAGCCTGAAAGTGAGCTGGTTTAGGGGAAGGATCCAAGCCCTGGTGG